CTCGCCGCGGCAGGGGGCAGGCACTGCGGCATGAGGCTCACGGCACGTTCAGCAGAGCTGGGGGGGACAAACTGGCATTGGCTTGTGTGCCCGGGTGGGAAACGGGCTCCAGTCCTGGCAGGGCTATTGCCTGGTCTGAATACCTCTCCCTGGCAAGACTCTTCCTAGCTTCCAGAGGACTGACGATGCATGGGGAGCACAAGATCAGCCCCCCCTGCCATTAAATGCCTTGGCCTACAGGACAGACCATATCAGCAAAGACTGAGGTATGTGGGCAGGGATGTACCCCTGCTCCGAGACCTTCCTGGACACTGTAATGCTCTCAACTGAGACTGGGTCAACTCCACCTGAAGTGGGTCAAGTCACAGAAACAAGTCTGACTCTCCGATTTCACTCCCGTCCTTTCAAACCAAACTGCTACATTTCTCCCTTCTCATCTCGACATGTATCGGGAAGGCATAAACGACGGGAGGATGGAAGGATCATCAGGCTAGTCTCGGTCTAATATTTAGGAAAGGGTTAATGTTTCCTGGGGAAACAGGGATCGGGGTTGGATTCCCCTGTTAGTCTGCAGGGCCAGGGTATTCTTTGCAGTGCTGCATCGCTGCCTGGGCACCTGTGCATCCCTTCCAGGTACCCCAGATCCTGCCTTTATTTTAAACCCTGGTTACCTAGATGTGCCAAACAGGCTCCACTTTTTACCTGGCCTCTACATGCTCTGATTGTCTGTTCAAAAGCTACCTGGCTGCAAGGAAAGTAGGATTTCAACCTGGGAGGAGCTGTCGGCCAAGATGCCAGCTCTAGGGCTGATGTATAATACTTCCGGCGAGTCATGTTTTCCACTTTTAATCATTATCTTTCCTCTGATCAAAGGACAAGTGTTTGTGAACTTTGCTTTGCTTAAAGTCCATCCCCACAGCTCATCCTGCTCATAGGCCCAGCCCTGCCACGGCCCCCCTGGATTCAGCTCAGCACCACCAGCAGCTGCTTGACTGGTGATGCTAGATTTTATGGCTAGATACGGGGAAAGCCTCCTCCCCGTGTCCCGTCTCATAGAGGACGGGGACAGGGACGGGTGTCTTGCATCGGGGTCTCTAGTGTGTGAATCCCAGGGGTTTCTGTCCAGATCTGGTGCTTGGCTGTGCTCTGCCGGATACCGGTAATGGGGGGCATCCCCCAGTCCCTAACCAGAAGCCTGTGACCCCGCGTGGGGGCTGGATAAGGACCTGACACCTCTTCCAGGGAAAAGATGCACATGGACTTACACAGCATCAGCTCAGGCCCTGCTAAGCCGGGAGATGAAGGCGCCACGTGCTCCGTGCACGGGGGCAGAGGCACCCTCCTGAAGACAGGAGCAGCTCAGATGGCGTAAGCGGTGCCACCGTCCCTGCGCACGCTCAGGCCACAGCAGCCAGCGGACCTTGTCCCCAGGCTGCTCCAGGAAGGAGCGTCCTACCGAAGCCAAAGGCTTCTGGAGGCTGCACAAGCTCCCACGTGGTCCCCTTGCGTTCTTCCCACGAGAATCTGCTTTGAACCAGCCGAGCCTGGGCGCGATTCCCGCAGCCCAAACAAGCCAACGCCGGTGCCCCACCAGCTCCGGGAGCAGTAGGCCTGGACACAGGCTGAGGCACTCGATGAATGCTTATAATCTGCTCAGCTGCCCCCTCTCTGAGCCCCTGCCAGCCTGAGCATGCATCTGCATGGAGAGGGAAACTGAGGCAGCAGAGACCAGCCCTGCCTTCAGCCTTTAGGCGAGGGACCGCGTCTGGCTGAGCTGGGAAATGTTCTGCTTTAAGAGGCTTTGCAGCAAACATCAACCCTTGGTGAGAAACCGAACACATCCAGTGCCTGAAAACCTCCCCGATCACCGAGGCACAGGCATGAGGGAGATCAGCAAGGGGAGTGGGGGCTGCAGCTCGAGAGGCAGCTTCTGCTACCCTCTCGTGCCCAGCTCTTCCCTGCCACGTCTCACAGCAGGCTGCAAATGGACTGCTATCCCCACTCTACAGACGGGGAAGACTGAGGCTTGGGAAGGCATGCCCAACATTGCACAGCAAACCAGTGGCAGTCAGGAGCTGGATGCAGGCTTCCCCAGCTCAGAGTACTGCACAACTGCACGCGACTCCATCTCTGGCTACAGGCACCCGGCCAAATCCATCCTGTTCACATTAGGCACATGCAGCCGCCATGGCACAAGGACCTGGCAGTAACCAGGCTGTCACTACAGAGAGCTGGCAACCTCACCACTTGCACTTAATCAGTTGGAAACAACGCACCTGGGCTGGCTGATGCCCCCAGAGGACTTGGACCCCGGTACCTGCTGCTGAGCGCGAAATCGCTCTCTGTTTGCTCGTTTCCTAACGACCAGCCCCTGTTGACCTGGTTCCCCTAGAACCCGGAGAGTCCCACTGCAGCCAATTAACACCCTGCCCGTGTAGCAGGTGCAAGACCCAGGGTGAAGCAGCAGCCTGCCCCCCCTCCTCCCCAGCATGCAGAAGGGCCGGGTGTTGTCGAACAGTCGCTGACACACCGACAGCAAATATACGACGATTTGAGGCACGGCAAGGATTGGCTGAGCTGGAGCCGGGACCCTGACCCTGACCCTTGGGTCTGGCCATGCCTGGGGCAGGGCAGGTTAATGCCAATCTTCTACCTTCCTGGTCTGGGCACTGGCAGTCCTTAGAGCAGCCCAAGGGCTCCGCTGAGTTGTGCTCCCTCGTAATAATAACCTCCAAGGGAGCACTATGCCAACGGGGGACTGAAAGGGCACGGCAGCCCTCCCCACACCCCCTTGCATGGCCAGTGCTAGACTAGGGCAGTGTTTTGGCTTCTTTGCTGTGTCAAAGGGCCAGCACCGGGGTACAGCGGCACTGCTGTCTGTACACCAAGGCACTGGAGACACCCCAGATGGACACACCGCTGTCCTGGGTGGAAGCAATGGGGGGTGGGTCCAGGACACAGCCGCCTCCCTTAGCACTGAAGAGATGCAGCGGCTTGTGGTCGTGGAGGCGTAAGCCCTCAATCAAGTGAATTTGCACAGGCAGGTTGCACAGCGGTGGTGACAGGGCACGCACCACAGGCAGCTGCACACAACCGCACGAGATGCCAGACACTCGGGCGCGGGGTCTGGAGCTGCAGCTCGGTCGTGAGAGCATGCACCATGCGGACGTGTCCCAGATCCTTCCCCCGCCTTGCAGCCATGTGCATGGAGGAAGCAGGAGGGATGAAGAGCAGTGCAAAGCTATGCTTAAGGCAAGTCTCAGCACTCTGCGAAGGAGCCGAGGCACTCAGCATGCTGGAGGGAGGCCTGGGAAACTAGCCCAAAACCACAGCAATTCCAACTGCATTTGTTTAGGGGAAGGAGAAAAGAAGAGGAGAAAGCACTAGCACAACCTCTGAGACGTGGAAAGCCTCCGACTGCCTGGGACACAGCCAAAAGCAATGGCTGGAGACTGCCCTGATGTTTTCCCAGACCAGTTCCCTTTGTGTTTTCCCTGTGTGCACACTCACGCTCTGACAGCAGGGGCGGGGATCAGCCAGGCATTGAACTGTGCCTGGTTCATAGCAGAAAGCCCTGAAAAGAGGAGTGGAAAGTCCTTCAGAGCTCACTCTGGGGCTCTTGGCCTGGTTTGAGGAGCATGGGGAAACACTGCCGCTGACTGCAGACCGATGCCGCATCCCAACCCTCCTGCACCACTGCAGACGGGCCCCAGCAAAGCTCTGTGCCCAGCTCTCCCCGCAGCGACGGTCCAGCTCCGTCCTCTTTGCAACCCCCTGCATAAGCCATGTGCCCAGCCCCCAAACCATTTTCATTTCCCTCTGCTGGACTCTCCAATTTTTCTGTGACCCAAAACTGGACACAAGCCTCCAGCTGTAGCCTCCCCAGTGCTGAATAGAGGGGAATAATCACTTCCTTTGATCTGCTGGCAATGCTTCTACCGATGCAGCCCAGGATGCCGTTATCCTTCTTGGTGACAAGGGCACACTGCTGGCTCATATCCATCTTACTGTCCCCTGTCACCCCAGGTCCCTGCTGCCCAGCCCGTCACCCCTGGCCTGTCCCAGTGCATGGGGTTGTTCCCTCCTAAGTGCAGGACTTTGCACATCTGATTAATAGGCAGATTCATTAATAGACAGGGCATTAATAGATGGGGGATGTCCAATGGTTCTCTCAAGAGGCAGGAGCTGGTCTTTGGGACCCTATTTGCCAGGTCCTGGCACAAAGCAGCTTGTATAAGAGGTTCTGCTTTATTACCTGGTTAATAAGGATGCAGCGGCCTGGCTCTTAACTCAGGTTTCTGCACTTGCTGAGCGAACAGGCAACCGTTTATGAGCATTTCTCCACCCCCAGTTTCTCAAGGGGCTGAGGAAGAAGGAACCCTCCATGCAGGAGGCTTTGCCGTGGCTACTGCTCTGCTGAGACCACGAGGGGAAGTTTCCTACGAGTCCTGCAGCTCTGTCGGCTCAGAATAGCGATGATCTAGCACCCGAAACTCTTGCAAAACTGGCACTTCCCTGTGGGGTTTTATTCCTACCTTTTCTTTAGTGCAGAGGAAAGCTCCAAAGAGAGGAGCTGCAGTTCTAGCCAGGAGCAAACCCAGCGGTCACCAGGTCTCTGGGTACCAAAAAGCATTTTCTGCCTTCACCGACCACAGTCAACTACCCTGGACTGAGTTTGCTCCAGGCAGGTATGAGGCCGCCGCGGTTTTCGGTGCGCTACCAGGGGACCGGCGGACGGTTTAATTCAGCTCTCAGGATATATGGGCCAGGTCTTCTGCAGGGATTCTCTTGGGGAGTGACCCTGACATCGGGAGGCCACGTCTCTTTCCGTGGCAGTAATAACGTGTCACTCGAGAGAGTCATTAATTATCACTGAATGGCTCCTCAGAGCGTGAAAAAAATACCTAAGATCAGCGGGGTCGAGGATAAGCTGCGAGAGCCAGGGGAGGAAAAAGAGGCAAGGCTTTTGTTAGCTAAATAAGCAGAATTCCCTAAGAGGCAAGGCTTTTGTTAGCTAAATAAGCAGTTTTCCCTCCCCCGCCGGGAAATATCACCCACCAAACCCCCTGGCTGGGGTGAATGGAGGGTGTGCAAGGTGGGTGCTGTTGTCCCATGAGCAAGTGCAAAGTATGTTATAAAACTGCTCCACGAGACCTGCTGTGGGGGCCAGCTGCAGCAAGAGCCACATCTGGGCCACGGAGAGAGGTAGCCTGGTTTGTGTCTGCAAGCAGATGGGCTTTGGGCTGGGGTTTATTCTTCCTCCAGACCAGACTGGGCATCCTGACAGTCCTGGCTCTGGGAAATCTGGATGCAAAGTTAGTGCAGGTCTTCGAAGGAAAATGCAATGGAAAGAGGCATCCACCCCGCCTCACCAGGGAGGGAGGGTGAAGAAGAGCTAAGGTCAACGGGACATTCGGGGCATCGGAGACCTGTCCCCTGGGCCCAGGCCTGGTCCACCCAATGGGGCCAAGTGCAGCGTGTTCAACCACCCGCAGCATCAGCTTGGCGTCACCGGGGCCGTGACCGTAAAGCCTGACCCATGATTGTCACTTGAAGCCAACCCCGTGCCAACGTTGGGGCTGCTGAGGTCTCAGGGGCCTAACGAACAGAGCGCGGGGCGAGTCGCTCGGAAAGCCTCCTTTGACCAGCTGGCCCTTTTTCTCTAACCTCAAAAGACAACGCTTTTCTCAAATGAATTGGATAGTCCCATTTTTTCACCCTACCCGGCCTACGGCAGGTGCCTCCGATGGCTGTTCTGATTGAACAGGGCGCTCACCAGTCGCTCTTTGGAGCGATTTTCAGTTTAAAGCAGCGCGAAAGCCTGCGCTCCGCGGCGTTTGTCTGCCGACGCTCCCGCCTGCCGGCCTGGGCACAAGCAGAGCGAACCCAAGGGCCTGCGTTCTGCAATATCCACCCGGCTCTATTACTAAAGGACTATTTGTAGCCGAAGTTCAGTATCAATTTGATACAGTAGTTTTGTCTGAAGGGGTATTAAAACAATCAAAACCCTAAAAACCCAACCTGGAAGCATTTCTCAGCATTTCAGAGGGCTTCTTACCCCTTCCCTTGAGCCCCAGGGAGCTCACATCCATTCTGCATTGCCCTGTTTTCAGTTAAAAGACCAGAAAAGAACAGAATAGATTGCCTTCCCCTCTCCCTCCTCCCTCCCCACCATCCTGCGCAACCCCCCTTTCCCTCGAGCGGTCCAGTGGGCCTGGCTCCCAGCCGTGCTGAGCACCCACAGCTCCCGCTGACTGCTGCTGGAGATGGGCGAGTTCAGCCTCTCTGACAACGCCAGCCTCCCTCTTTTCATATCCGGGCCCATGAAGGCCTGTATGCTGCCCTGCCGGGCATGAGAACAGCCCTGGCTGCAGCAGACAGACAGATAGATGGACTACCATCTCCTTGCTCCTGGGGTGGGTGGTGAACAAGCTTATCTGCTGATACCTGTGGCCTGATCCTGCCTACCTGATGCACCAAACAGAAAACTACCCCAGGCAGATGGGGCTAGGAAACCAACCCAGCGCCAGCTCACGGCTTGGCAGGACCCTATCTTCCAAAATGCACCCAGGAAGCCCATGCAACAGTCTCGTGGACCATTCATAAAACCTCGGCGCTACACACAGCTCGTTCCCGGGATTACCACCCAGCCTCCGACTGCGTTGCAGCGTACGGGCTCTGCCTTGGATGCCTGCTGTCAATCCCTGCAACTCATGACCTGGGCCCTTGTCTAAGCCTTGCCAGCCACTGAGTCTTCAGAAACCCCAAAGCCACTAGATCATCGCAAGGGATCCACACGCTGCAGCTTCCTGAGGGCGCAGGATGGACCGAGTCAGACAAGACATTGCCCCGCTCCCCATCCCACACCAGAAGGAAACGCAGCGGGATCCTGCCTCGCTACGGCAAACTGAAAGGCAGTCCCAGGACAGGAGCGGACCCCGGCGCTATTGCACTTGCCTTTCGCTCAAGCATCACCCGTTTGGTGCACGGAGCCGGGAGACGTGACGGGCGAGGGGGCAGCGAGGATCCCCGCTGCGCGGGGAGGGGAAGAGATGTGTCAGCAGGGAAGCCGGGAGCCCGTGTGTGCGTGCACAAGCGTGGGGGCGAGGGGGGTCGTGGAAATGGGGAGAGGCTGGGTAGAAAATTGCAGTCTCTTTCCTCTCTCTTTTCCAGTGTGAAACAAGGTCCGTGACTTTCCTTAAAGTGGTTTTCCTCTTTTTCTCTTAAAAAGGGAGGTGTGGGGAGGGGGACGGAAACCCGGCACAGCCCCCGCCTCGTTACCCTGGGTTGTAAACGAATCCTTGGAGACAGTCCGGGAACCTCTTATTTCTCGGGCATCTTGCTGGCTCCTGCTTTCCGGCTGCCGGGCGGCTTGGGGCCCCTCTCCTCCGCGCCAAGCCGGCAGTTGGAGCTCTCCCACGGCTCTGGGGGTTTCTTGTGATTAGTCTTTGCCGCCGCGCTCTCTTTGCCCTTGGCGGACGGTTCTGGGGGCCTTTCCTTGGGTTTTCTGCCTCTTTTCTTCCCGTTTGTGCTTTCCTTTTTCTCCTCGTTGCTGGAAGAAATCTGTTCCCTGCTCTTCTTTTTCCGGGAAGCCTCTGCAGAGGTGCGGAACCAGTTCTGTGCCCGGAGCGGGACGGAGGACGGGACAAGCGGTTAGAGACCTTCCCGGGGCGCTGCATCGGTCTCTGCACCCTCCCGGCCACCCCCTCCTGCTAGGGGTTTTCCTTCCTCCCCCACTTCTCCTTTCCCACACCCCCACCCCAAGCCCTGCCCGTGTAGACGTGCACCTCTCTACCCCTCCGCAGCCGCTTTGAACAGACGTGGGTTCACAGGCCTCCGTCCCGTGCATCCCACCCCGCTTCCTCACCTCTGAGTGAGTCTTGATGATATGGTACTTGACTCCGCTCTCCGAGCTGAACTCCTTCTGGCACAGCAGGCAGCGGTACTTCCCCACGGAGTGGTCTCCCTGGAAGGCAAGCAGCAGCCTCCTGTACCCCGCAGCGATCTCCCGCAGGCCCTCGGGGAGAGGCTGCAGAGCTCCCACCACCCAAACGAGGACCCTTTGGAAAGCTCGAGGCATCCTCAGCAGAAAGAGGGTCCCTATTCTGTGTCCAGCTAAAGGCCCCCAGAAGCTCCCTGGGCATCAACAGCTCAAAGACTTGGTTGGCAAGTGTGTACGTGTCCCTAAGATACCGCACGCAAGGATTGGCAGGATTTCAGAGGCTCTTAACTCGAAAGGCCAGCCCATCGCAATGCAATTTGGCCCCTCTGCTGCTAAGCAGTGGAGGCTCCTTCCCTTGAGACACATCCAAAGAGAAGAGATGGGCACATTTCAGGCAAGTGTGCAAAGGCATGCACCTTTGCATATCTCATTTGGCAGAGCAGCTAATGCACAATGCACCCACGGGGAAGCTGTAAAGCTTCAGCTCAATTAGCCACAGGTGCGTTCGATTATCCCTGCATGTGAGGTGTGCAAATGCACACGTGCATCGCAGGCCTGATCCGTGAAAAACATCCAGGATTGTGATGCCAAAGGCTTAAAACCCTGGAGATGCACAGGAGACAGGGCGTCGCTAGCGCTCACACAGGCAGCCGCATTCTCCTCCACAATGGTGCCGATTTTAATTGCATAAAAGCCAGGAAATTCATCGCTACAGTTCCCACGGCAACGATAAATCAGCTGTATTGTACCCTGTATCCGGGCATAAAAGTTAACCCCTTTCGACAACGACACAACATTACCACACACGCGCCCAGGGGGGAACGAGCAATGGTTTCTGCGGGTGCTGTAATGCGAATTTCCTGGAGTTTGTGCATTACAAATCTCACTGGTAATATAACATTAACATGGGCTCTTTTTTTTAAAATTTAAGATAACTAAGGGCCCAATTTCGTGGCTGTCAGCAGATTCTGTGATTGTTGGAGATGCCTGCTGGGATTTGAAACCTCTCCTAATTTATGACCTATGGTTCTTTTCTAATTTTGCCTTTCTATTGTTGAACAGGCGATTCGGCTGCTGCATTTCCATTATTACAGCCCTCGTGAAAATGAATGGGTTGTCTGCTCTCCACCGGCACCGGGGAGCTAACGCGTTCTCTCTTGACCTGGGGTTTATACAGCGGGCGATGTATGTCCTTGGTGGGAATCCAGTCCTAACTGCGCCGTAAATCTGGGGGCCGACAGGTCTCTCATTTACCGGCTGTGTCTTTACGCAGGCAGGTCTAGGCAGCCTGCAGTCGCACTTAATAAATAATCACGCAAACTAATCTGAGCTCATTGATCTCTACTGGTAACAGGGCAGTGACTCAGCACCTGCTCCACGCCGGGGAGTTATCAGCTCATATCCTCTGCAATCAATTAGAAGAAAACAAAACTCAGCCTGGTGCTGGTGTCCTGGGTTTCCTTGGTGTGGCCCTACAGTATGTGCTGGGAACAGATCATCCACGGTGGGAGACTGCTGGTCAGGGCTGGAGACAAGGGCAGCGTGGGGGCTGCAGACTTGCATACTATTTGTGGGAGAAACTGCCCTCCAACCAGGCAGCGAAGTGCTCGGTGGCCATTCCTGCAGCGTGTGCGCCCGGATCTGCAGGCTGGTGCACACGTGTCCCATGTCCTACCCCGCACTGTGCAGCGAGCAGCTGAGAGCACAGGCAGGCTGGGCTAATGGCTCGCACAGGAATCCCGCTCTCCCTCATGCTGCATAGATGCACGGGCTCCCTGTCAGCTGTCTGGAGCAGGAGCAGCTCCTGAGTCAGGGCTGCCAGGCCTGGCCTCTGCATTTGCACAACGCAGGTGCTGCTGCTTGCAGAGTCCAAGCATCACAGCTGCGGTCACTGCCGCTGCACTGGTTACTTCTGCAGACTTGGGATTTTTTTGCGTGAGGGATCATAAGTCTGTAGCACGTGTGAGGGGTTGCTTTGCAGGTGGGATGTGCCGAGTGGAGCCTTTCCACGGATGCTGCTGCAGTGTCTGCACAGCTGGATTAATGATCCGACTGGTGCTTTCTCGCCCCATGTTCCTATGGCCAACTAGAGATGTCACAGGGCGACTTGCACATCCTTTTCCTCATGTGTGCCACCACAGACGACTCGTGCATGCCTGGGAGGGAGCGCCGGCCCTGGCACTCTCGCCGGTCTCCCGTCGCTCCACGGAGGGCCCCTTTCCTAGCAAGCCAGGAGGCTCCGCTATCTTGCCAAACAACAGCTTGAGTCTCCCGTGCCTGCTTGTTTGTTTTGTGCAAATCCTACTCGTTACGAGGATTTCTGCATGCGATTTTCCAAATTATCTCATTAGGAGACTGCGTTCCAGCTTGCGCCGACGGGGAGAGGGTTGGATATGTTTTTAATAATCTCCGAGCACATAGTTGGCTTGCTAGGCCTGCCTGGCTGCCTTCTGGAAACGCCGCTCCATGTGCTTTAGAGCTGGAAACACTTCAGGATTTAAAGTTTTACTAGCTCTTTCTCGGTTTCCAATTCAGCGGAGCTGCACTGAGTCCCCATCTTGCCGCAGGCCAGTGCTCATGGAGTTAATTTAACCTGGAAACGTTACCGCTTTATCTCCAGAGTGCACTCGCACTTGAACTCCAGTGCGGCACCATTTATAAAGACCCAGGCAGCTAATGTCGTTCTGTGCCCATTTCTGGCTTTGTCTCTCTCCTAGACTGCAACTATCCAGACTACAGGGGCGAAAGTGTCGGAGGGGTTTGAGTCCACGTGTGCAAGGTGTCTCCCTGTCCTGGCTCCTTTGAAAATCCCTGCCTCTGTGCTACCCAAACTGGTGTGCAACTGCCGGCTACCTTGTGCCAACTGCTCTGGGCATTCACTGCTGTAACCCTGATGGACACCGAGGGGGTGCCCCCATCGCCGCTGGACCACGCCGCACCGGGCCGCAGGTCTGCGCAATGCAGCTGCCCCTTCATGCACGCTGCATCTCCAAATGGAGGCCATAGGTTTGGGCAGTTACGGGCACTGGCTCCATCCTAGTCCAATGCCTCTCCATGGTGCAGACAAGCCTATATGGTGAGGATTGCCTTGGCTATGGTAGTGGCCTGGGTGAAACTCCTTTGAGGGGTGGCATGTGCTGAGGGGAAGGCAGTTCTGTTAAAGCCGTGGAGCTTGTACTGACATGGTGGGGCAGTTCCCCCAGACACCAGGCCAATACAAGGACTATGGACCCCTCAGGGCTTCAGGGAGGTCTCAGCGGTGTTGAAGCCCAGTGCTGGACTATTGCAAAGCCTCTGAATGGCTCCCTCTTGTCCCTGCCAGGCCTACGCGGAGGCTGAGAGATGGGATCCCCTGCTTCAAACAAGACGGCTGGAAGCCGAGGTCTGCCCCCACACGGACCTACCTTGTTGCAGTTCGCCAGGTGAGCCTTGAGGCCGGAGACGCTGGAGTAGATGGCTTCACAGCACTGCAAGAGACAGAAAGAGAGGGGGTTGCAGCGGGTCTTCCCTGGCTCCTTGCCTCTCTCTGTTTCCACCATGCCCAGGGGGGCTGCCCGGGTTTGATTGCCAGCACCGCCTAATCAGCATGAGGTTAATTTTCCATGTCACGCGCAGGGATCCGGCCACACGTTTCCTATTAGCGCTAACGGGAGTCATGTGGCTGCGTCCCCCTGCACCGGCCGGAGAAACATATCCCTCAACGTCTCCGTGACAAATGCACATTTCCTCGCCATCGGGAGGCCCCGCTGGGATCCAGGAGCTCTCAGCGCCGCGGCAGAAGCTTACGGAAGAAAGGCTAATCACCGCGGCAGCAGCATAATCACCCCCGAGAATCGGCCTTGCCTAGCGTGCGTTAATTAGCCAACGCGTCTCACTCAGGCTGGCGCTAACATCCCTGTCTTCAAATGCCAATCAACAAGGGTTTGTGTCGGATTATAAATCAATGGCCCAGTGGCGGGGAGGTGGGGGGTGGGGCTCGGTTCACATCCTCGGGAACAGCAAGCATCTTAAAAGAGATTTAAAGGACACACGTGCTAACCCCGAGATATATGCACCTTGTTTTGGGGGAGCGGGGGGAAATTTGTGAGCAAATTAAATCAGATAAATAAATCAATAAAACCGGGGCTCTGTATGTGTGCAAAAGGCCCGAGCAGTTACTGGAATTGCGACCAGTAAAGAGACTGGGAAATCAGGCCCAGGTTTCCTTAAATCACAGGTGGCTGAAAGCAAGGGGACCCTTGTGACAGCCGCCCCTGGGGCCACCCCTTGGCCTGTGGCTGGTAACGATGCCATCACTGTCTCGATGAGCGTGATGCATGGAGCAGCATGGCACCGTGGCCGGCCAAGTCCGGGCGCCTGTTCTTGGGCAAAACTTTAAGACGCCCGACTCCACTGCTGAGGCTTGAATCCAGATCCAAGCAAGGAGCAGTGATCTCCTCGCTGAGATCCCTCCCCTCCGCTGCCCCCCCGCCCGGGGGAGATACAGAAATGTCCTTACGTCGTTGGGACAGTTGATGTGTCCTTTCTCCTTCACTTCATTTTTCCAGGTCTCCAGCAGTCTCGGATTTAACTTGGGAAGTCCTGGCCGGGTGTAATTGAGCTGCCGAACAACAGAACGTGGTTAGCGGGGCTGGGCCCATCCATCCTCAATGCCTCTGAAAGGGTCTCGCCCCCTTGCCCCCCCCCGGAGAGGTGAATCAGGGCTGAAAAATGAGCGTGGCATGCTCAGCCAAGTCCTCGTAGGGACTCCACTTGCACCACAGAAGATGCTGAATGCAAGCCAGCGTGAAGGGCTGGGGACGGGACAGGAGCGGAGCTGGGTAAGGGGCAGGCTGGAAAAGGGGGCATGAAGCCGTCTGCCCTGCTCCTCTCTCCAGCAAGCACCCTCAGCGCTCTTTTTTTGGATGACAGGAGCCTGATTTGCCCTGAAGTCCTTTCTCTCCCTCACTTCAGCGGGGGAAAGGATCAGGCCCTGCATGTGCAACCGCTGTCTCTCCAAACTGAAGAATAAATGACGCTGTTATGGGAAGAGGCCGTGAAAGCCAACGCCCGAGAGCCTGCGGGGCTCCCGTCCACCGATTAGTGGGAATATCCCATTAAACAATGAAAGACTCTTGTGCGTCTCTCTCTGCTTTTGGCAAGGGCTCTCACTCCGAGTGCTTTTAATTACGGCTGTGCTAATAACCTCAAGGTCTAGCAGAACGAGCCGGGCCTTCCAGCAGACCTCCCCGTGAACTCCAATTCTGCGTGTCCGGTGCTGCACAGCCCATCGCGTGGAGGGACAGTGTTTGCGCCCCTTTGCTGGCACATGCAAATGCTAGGCTCAGTTGTCAGGAAAGCATCTATACAGCTCCATGATGGCTCGGCCTGTTGCGGCGTGGCACCCGTGTGCACCAAGGGACACCGGGAGCCGTCTGCATTGCTGACGTCTTGGCATATCCATTTCTGCAGGGGGAACGGTGCTGCTCTGAAGATTCAGGCTGAACACAAGAGTCCAGCCTGCTGTCCCCATGAGCTACAATGCAAAAATTAATTGTGTTTGCCCAGAGGCACAAGAAGAAGGTGTTTCACAGAGCTGCCCCCAAGGAGTCAAGGCCTTGGCTGGCCAATGAAGCTAGCACTCTAGTCTGGGACTCTTCAACGTGCTGGGCACGTCTACATGTTCACTAATGTGCCTTAGTTACTGCACGTTTAGTTTAGTACTTGCTTAATAAAATACTAATTAAATGCTCAGCAACTACAGTTACTGCACAGTAGCGCCAGCGCAGTTATTTTGTGATGCTTACTGCACATTAGCCTAATAACACTGCGCAGTGGGCTATTAGTGCGGTTTTAACCACCGCACAGTGTTATTAGGCTAATGCGCAGTAAGCGTCTTGTGTAGATGCACCTACTGATAAACTCTCAATCCGTCTTCTCACCGCGTTGGGAGGAGACCTGCCTTCATCTGACGTCGTTCTGTGCTTCTGAACAGGCACTTAGAGATGAGGGTACCTGTGTCCTGTGCAGTTCAGGTGACCGTGGGCAGCCTGGAGCTTTGTCCTCAAACACAGACCTTTCCTTCTCAGTCGAACCGAGCCAGAGGGTGAAAGCGCCCCGTGTCAGGATGGACCCTCTAAGGCACCTGCCGGACTCAGATCTGAACGGGAGGAGTGCGATGCTTCTGCAAAGGCAGCCGTCAGAGCCTTTGATCCCTTTCTCAATGAAAACTCAAATCAGTCCACACCACAAACGAATCGTGACGGTAGCCAGGTGTAGTCCCAGCAGCTGAGCTCTGGAGCAGGGCGATGCTCTGAGATGCGGGTTCTGTCATGCTGGCCCATGGAAACCCGCTCTCGGCGCTCCCAGAAGAGGCACGTCACCAACACACACGGATCCCGTAGCTTCCTCGTGGGCCGCGGCACTGGGAACGCCGGCCTCGGCTCCGCATCTCTGTTCGGCAGCAGCCTCGGGCATGGAAAATTTGACTTTTTTCCATGTATTTGCTGGAAGTGAAAGATCCTCGTGGCCAAGTCGTTAAGTGACTCCCACGGTGCCTGGCGCAGGTCCAGGCCTTCGAGGGCCCTGCACAGCGGTGGCAAGTGGGAAGGCTTTTCTGACCGACAATCAGATTTAATTAGTTTTCATATTTCAAGCCTCTCTCCCCCAATAGCTCCCCTGCCCCAAAACACACCGCAATAAATGGAAGCCAGGTGCTCCGCCCCGGCCTGAGCCAACAAACCCCTAATCAAGCTGGCTTCCCAAGCGACTGAGGCTCTGATCGCCCACACTGCAGCAAAGACAATTAATCTGGGGAGACCTGGGTGCAAATCCAGAATGGCTTACTCATGGTAGCAGCTGGAGAGTCGCAGCTTAGCTCCTAGACCGGTAGGATGTTTGAGCCATATCACTGAGCTACAGGGTCTTGGAGCTAGGCCTGATCCAGCCTTATTGTCCCCAGATGTGGTTGGTTTAAAGATCCAAACCCAGCACCCAGCTATGCATCCTCACCTCCAAAGGCCAAGCGGTCCCAGAGCCCTGACCCAGAACAAAGGCGCTGTCCATAAAGATGGAGACGCAGCAAGGAAAGCTAGGGGCTCTGGGTGCTGCTGGACTGGCTCTGCTAACGCCTTTCAGCTTCGCTCCGTGGGATTCGTTTGCTCTCCAGTCCTTTGTGATGGCTGATGGAGCAAAGAGATGCTCGCAGGAGGCAGGACAGGACCCACAGACTCATTTCACATGTGAGCTAGGGATCAAAACTCCAGTTCCAGGAGTGGAAAAGGGGTTTCCC